CCTTGAAGTTATTGAATCAAAAAGTAAACAAGTATTTTAGAATATGAATCGAACATTTTGCATAATAAATGTAATTGAATGCCACAATAACTAAACAGTATTACTTGGTACAGCAAGAATGAATCGGTTAAAGCATCGTATCTTCAGGAGGTTAGTTATTCTTGACAAGGCTATTCTATTCTGTATCAAATAAAAGTTGAAGCAATAGTAGAGTTAATCTTTCATATTTTTTTTGCAATATTTCTATGATGCATGCAATTTTTGCTTCTTAACCTTGTAATGGTCTTTTAAAAATGTCAAAAACATATTTTTCATGAAAGCTATATTATTTTTCAAATATATATCTCAATAATATATTCTATCAGTGCTTTCTGTAAACCACAATGATTGTAAATACAATTAATACATACAGGAAATCAATCAATCTAAGGATTTTAAAATTTGAACAAATATTTTATACTAAATTTTTAAAAAATTTTTTTTATAAAATTCAAATTTTAGCTAGCGATTATAGCAACTTTAAGTTTTAATCGTTATGTATAAGAGGAAATTAAGCGGGCTGAAATGGATAAATTTGAAAATATTAGTGATAAGAGTATTCTAGCATTAAAGAAATACATTTTAATCCAAGAATTAAGTTTATTGTTTTGTAATAAGCTTTGAATTTAAGGCGAAGCGCTAGTTTTACGAAAATTGATGAATTTGCTCAAAGTAAAGATGGTGATGAAGATGAGTGTGAATCAAAAATCGCAGCATCAAGTTCAAAAACGTGGACAAATAGTATGGGACGAACTTTAAAGCGAAGATTGAGCATTTTTCGGAAGGATAACGATGAAAATGAACGGTATAGTGTGATGGAAAAATATATTTCGTAGTTTGAAGACATAAAATAAAATAATTATTGAAGCAGTTTAAGGTTCATATGTATAGTGATTGCGTGAAAATTAAGTTGCGCATACAAGTGATTCGATCTAATGTTTAATTTTAAAAATCTTTCAAGAAATATAGTTTCTGGATATTTCATTACGGTCAATAGAATCAGATAGAAGAAGTATACAGATAAGATTTTAGAGTTGCTATTGTAAATTACTGTGTATGGAGTGTATTTGGATGACACTAAATAATACTGATCTTAATTAG